TGTTACCTGCACACCTGTGTTTATTGTGGCTCCATTAACCAAGATATGCTACCAGCTTAGGTGAATGGATTAAAAAAAAAAAAGTGGTATATTTACACAAAGAAGTATTATTCAGCCATAAAGAAGAATAGCCAATTTTTAAAAAGTGAAAGAAACCTCAGTGAACTGATTGTCCCTAATATATAATGTTACAAAATCATGTACAAGTAAAATGCCAATTCAAAGCCCAAGACAGACTAAAGATGCAACAAAATGAGTTGTTAATTAATGTATTTTGAGAGTCCACATTGAAACTAACCCTCAAGAAACTATCACTTGTTGCAAGAGGCTCCTAGTTTAAGCCCCAGCTAAACAAAAAAACAAAAGAAAACAGACAAAAAGAAATGATCACTTGTTATCTTGTAGAGTAGTGTCATTTCAAAGAGTACTCACAATTACAAAAATATTGTTGGGGCACAGTTATAATGTAAGAATACATTTATAAAATAGTAAATTTGTAGGTATGTCATGACACAAATTAGAGGTCTCTGACAGGTATATGCTCTTGAATTCAGTGAACCTAAAGCCCAGCTGCATGAACATTGAGTCAGAGTAATTTTATATACCTTAAGGCACCCTGGTCAAGTGACGGACACCTTTAACTATGCTCCTCCTCTAAGGGTTCCCTCCCCTTGTTTCCAGAATGCTTCAATATTATGATAAATAGTCCTTTGTTTAAACAAATCTGTTCAAGACTAACCTGCCAGTCAATATATGACTCAATTAGTGCAACCAATTATGTAACATATCGTCACTTGCTTTGTATCACCCACTTCTAAATTCTATATAAACTAAGCTCTCTGTAAACTCAGGGCTGTTGCTTTTGAGAAACTATCCCACAACAGTCTGTGGTGCAAGGAGTCTTCTTTTCTATTTGACTTGGAAATTTTCCTGCAATAATACTCCTTCTTTTCCCAACTAAATAACGGTATGAGGCTGGATTATCTTCAAACATTTTGACCAAAACAACATCACACAACAAATAATTGCAAACACAAGTATGATAATTAATTTGTCTTCTATTAAGCCAGACTTTGAAGAGATTTTCAAAAGCAATACTCTCCTTCACATTAATGATTTTTGCCCTGGGAAAAATAGTTATTTTCCATATAAGTTATATTATCATGTATTGTATTTGGATTACTACTTGCTAAATTAATAGATTTAATTTTTTTTCTTTGTGTTAATTTCCAGTAAAAATAAACAGCAGCAGATAAACCCACACAAACAAAAGCTTTTTGGGTTCTCAGTAATTTTAAAGGGAATAAAACTGTCTTGAGACCACAAAGTTTTTGAAATGTCAGATTAATGAGTTATCAATTTGCTTTGTTATTGTTTTGTTAAATTGAGTTTACTAATATATCATCTCCATACAATAAAATTTGTCTTTTGAGGTACATTCTGTGAATTTTAACAAATGCATAGTCATGTAACTTCTGAAGTCAGCTATACAAGGTTTCTTCAGACCTTTTTCGCAGTGAAGGCTTCCATCACCAAGGTCCTGACATCTGCTAATTTGTGTTCTCTTTTGATACCTTTCCCGGGGCATCATATAAAGGACAGTACTCAGTACACAGCTTTTTAAATTTGACTTCTTCTACTTAATACAGTGTTTTTGATCATCTCTGTTGCTGATTTTACCAGTTATGTTTTGTTTGTTTGTTTGTTTGTTTGTTTTGGTACTGGATTGAACTCATAACCTTGTGAGTCATGAGTTATTTTTAATGGCTTCTTCTTTTTAATGGCTGGGTAGTATTTAACTTAGGGATGGGTGGATGCATAGTTTTTGATTTGTCAAGTGATGGACATTTGGACTGTTTAGTTTTTGAAGATTTTTGAATAAAGCTGTTTGTCCTAATCCATTTGGGCAACTTTACACTGGTTGACTGACACACAGAAAATGAAGATTATAAATGACAGAAATGTTTTGCTTACACAGTTCTAGAGTCTGGAAGCCCAAGACAGAGGCAGATTCAGTGTACGATGAGGGCCCCATATTTTCGTTTACAGATTGTGACTTCTGTGTCTTCACAAGGTGAAAAAAGACAAACGGAAGTCTGCAGGGTCTATTTTTATAAAGATATAAATCCCATTTATGAAGGGCTCTGTCCTCATCTGTTACATTCTAAAAGGCCCCGCCCCATTACCGTCACCTTGGAGGGAAAGAATGACAACATACAGATGCCATTTTCTTTCTTTTTTTTTTTTTACTAGTATCAGGGATCAAACTCACAACCACACACTTGCAAGGCAGGCGCTTATGCCGGTGAGCTAAATCCCCAGCCCCACAGATGCTATTTTCTAAGGAGGACAAATCACTTTGTTTTCCACAAACAGCATAGAGGAATTCCAGGTGTGCCACATCCTCTCGACACTCCGAATTCTCAGTTTCTCCTCCTTCTTTGTTTGCACTGTTTTGTTTGTTGAGTCAGGATCTTGCTGATTTCAGACTGGTTTTGAACTTAACTATGTAGCTCAGGATGGCCTCAAACTCATAGCAATCTTCCTACCTGCATGACACAGCCTACTGAGTACTGGGGTTATAGTTGTGTATTGCCATGCTAACCTTATTTCGCAAATGTTTTTATCAAGTAGATAATTTTCTAGTAAAGGGATATATATCCAGTGTAGCCTCCAGTTGCCATTAGATCAATGTCTATTACCGTTACATAGAACTAACAGTAAACTGCTAATTCGATTCAAGTTTAAGAGTCTTTTGATGATGTTGGGGAAAGCAATTGCCCAAGATTATGGTACCCATATAAATCACTACTTAAGCCTTGTTAAAGAAATCAGTGTTGACTGTGCACGCCACGTGATTTTGCCCCTACATTTTTTAAAGATTTGGCAAAAGAAAAGCAGTTTTAGCCTGCACTTGAATCTCATTATCATCATGGAGATTTCACTGTGGATAAAACCCACCAGACACTGTGGATAAAATCCTCCCCTGCAGTCACCATTGTTCTGGCCTCATTTGTAGCATTTGCTCTTGGAACTGAAACATATACCAATATGATTTTTAAAATTCATGTTCATAATATTTTAGTAGAATCTCTATGTATATCTGTTTTTTTGTAAGGCTAGTTCAATCCAGTGACTTTCACAAGCAAGCCTTCTACCACTGCACTTCCTTATCATTTTAGTGATTACATATGAATCTATACTTATCTCAAAATAAATTCAATTTATTTTGTTACTTATTATTGGCAATACTGGGGATTAAACCAAAGACCCTCTCACTGACCTACATCCCCATTCTTTTTTTTGGGGGGGGGTGTTTGAGAATTGAATTCAGGACTTGCTTGCCAGGCAGGTGCTGTGCTACTGTGCTAAATCCCAAACCCCTCTCCCCCACCCATTTTTATTTACTTAAAGATGGCGTCTTCCTGTGTCACTAATTGCCAGTCTGGGGTTTTTTTTTTAAAAGCCATTTTATTGCAAAGAGAAAAAAAATGAAAGAATAGATAAAAAAGAAAACAAAATTTCAAAAACACATCAATCGTGGGCAACAATGGTATATACTTTGTACAATGTCATCCCCAAATCATTCACCCAGAGCACATGACATCTGCATTCAACTGTCCAAACAATACTAGCACCAATCTTTCTCTTCAATGACCTCAGAGAAATCAGTAGTATAGTATCTTAACTTCTCATATACATATATATACATATACATATGTTGTTTCTTTCAGCTTCTCACACTAGTGAGACAATACAATGTTTACATATGTGTGTCTGATTTATTTCACTTATGATTGTGGTCTCAAGTTGCATCTATTTACCTTTAAAAGTCTCCAGTTTATCCTTCTTTATGGCTGACTAGTACTCCCATATATTTTTAAAAAACACATTTTTTTAATCCAGGCTGTGCTCTAATTTGTGATCCTCCTGACTCAGCCTCCCAGGATACTGGGATTACATGATTGTGCAACCAACTAGCTAATTTTTAAATAGAAAAAAAGTCTTCAACCTCTAATGGTCCAATTATCCTTTGACTATTTCATTTGTTATTAAACACGACTTTTTTTCGTTTTGTCTTGTCTTATTTTGTTTTGTAACAGAGTCTAGCTCTGTAGTTCAGGATAGCCTTGAATTTATCCCAAACTAGCCTTGGGATATATGTCCTATGTATCCCAAACTAGCCTTGAACTCAAAGCACTCCTGCCTCAGCTTCCAGAGTGCTGGGATTACGGGCGTGTGCCACCATTGCCCGCATATCATTGGAATTTAAATATGTTGTGTCTTCCTATTTTGAAAAATAGTAACAGGTTTGGCAATGTAACTCACTGATAGATCCTGCCTACAATGGGTAAGGCTTTGAGTTCAGTCCTCGGACTCCCTCCAAAATAGATAATCACTATAACTATCACTTTCCCCAGCATTACTGTCATTTTACTCTTCTTTTCATACTTACACTCAAGAATCATTTCCATTTACTATTTCTATTTCCTGAACTTCTGTTCTCTCATGATCCACTAGGACTCGACCTAAGAAACCTGACCTCCTTTGCCCACGTGGCAGCTTGACCTGTTCCCACATCTAAACCAGCTTCTACTTGGGCTTGTCTGACCCGCCTCTGACTCCGGGTGACCTAGGAAGACAAAAACGAAGTTATAATAAAGCGATGGGTGCAAATGGCAAAGGAAAAAAGGTGACTGGACAGCGACACTTTTGAGGGATGTGGGAGAAAAGTAAAAAGGTCACACTGGGTCATACAACAAAATAATGAGTCTTTCATTTTTTTTTTTTTTTTTCTCCATCCTCTTAGGGTTTGTGTAGTCAAAGTGAAAGTAGAGGTGACTGGGTACGCGACAAGGAACCAAATACTGACACCGAGTCTGTAAGCACTGGCTCCGTCAGTGCTGCGCATGCGGACAATAAAGCGCCCGAGTCACTAGCGGAACCTGAGCTCTGGGCAGAGGTTGCTGCTCGGCGCCCGGCTTCGATGGGCAGAAGCCTGCGCGCACGCCTAGGGGCGCTTCCGGCACGCCTGGCGGTACTACTGGTTTCCCGGTCCTCAGGGCCTCTGAGCGAGGGACTCTGCAGCATCCCCTCCCCGCGCCGCCGCGAGCTCCCCGGGGGTATGAGGGCAGCGCGGGACACTTTGGAGGCGGGCCCGAGGCTGCTTGTGTGTCCCCGCCTTTCCTGTCCGGTCCCCGGGAAGTGGCACTGAAAAAGGGTGGGAAAAGGGAGTAGGAAAAAAGATCCGGTCAGATTGCTGTGCAGATACAGTGAGGTTAATCCCTGTGAGCACGTAGAAAAAAAAGAAGAAAGAAAGAAAGAAAATGAAGTTAAAGCTTAAAGAACTAGAGAGTCGTCTGCAACAAGTGGATGGATTCGAAAAACCCAAGCTACGTCTAGAACAGTATCCGACCCGGCCGCACATTGCAGGTAGGGCGGCTGGCTCATCGTGCCCTGGCTTCTGACTGGTGCTGTCCACTCGCTTCGTGATGAAAATGAGACAGTTACTTGAATACAAAGACTGTCTAGAGAAATTATGTCTTAAGATGCTGTGTCACATTAGAGAGGTCTTTTTGAAATCGCAACTAAAGACAAACCCTCCACTCATTCCAACGCACACTTTTATCGTTTTACAGATTGGTTTTATGCATAGTTTTCTTTACATACTTTCTTGGCATCTTTTTAATCTGTTTCTCTCATCGCACTATAAAATCCTTGAAAGCTAGGAATTCGTTACTGTTCTTCATTCTTGAATTGCCTAAAAGGGTCGCTGCTTCTGATAGGCTGAGGCAAAAGAGAATCGCGCGTGTGATCACAGCCTGAGCAATTTAGTGTCCTTGTCCCAAAATAAAAATTTTAAAAATCTTTAAGTATCCCAAAGTTCTAGGGTTCGTTTTCTTTTTTCTTTTCTTTTGTCTTTTTGACACAGGATTTGATTATGCAGTTCAAGCTGGCCTTGAACTCACTCAATAGTCCAGGCTGGCAAACTCGCTGCGATCCTACTGCCTCAACCTTTTGAGGGCTGGGATTACAGGCATGCATTACCATGCCCGGCCCAAGTGTCCAGTTTTATAAAAACTAAAAATCAGCTGTAGCAGTAATTAGGATAGCATGGTCAGTATGAAATGTCCCTGTAATTTTAAATAAAAACTGTGGGTCTTGGGGTATCCTTGATGGTCTGGTATTCACAGGAATTCTGATATCTACAGGAAGACGTACTGGTATCACTCATACTTACGGTATATGCAAGAGCCTTGGGTTTGAAAATGTAATCTCAGCAACCCTGCTCCTAAATTCTTATCAGCTCTTGTTTGTAGATGAATTGTGTGTCTGTAAATCATGCGTATGTGTTTAAAGTCTGTACTATAGGAGCTCATGATACCTGTGTTCTGGTGATAAACTTGTTGCAAAACAAGTCCTATGGTTTTAGTCTTGTTTTGTTTTGTTGTCTTTTTGAGACAGGGTCTCACTATGCAGTTCAGGCTGGCCTTGAGCTCACTTTGTAGCCCAGGCTAGTCTCGAACTTGCAATCCTGTCTCAGCCTCCCCAGTGCTGGGATTACAGGCGTGAGCCACCACGTCTGGCAAGTCCTATGTTTTTGTAAAGCTAATGCTTGTTTGACATCAGTGGTGCCTAGACTTGGCAGATTTCACAGATCAATAAAATTTCAAAAGTTTGGGACACTGATACAGGGTTGTCAAATTTCTATTTTGACAAGGAGTATTTTACTCTGTATTCCCTCTTAGTGAATAAGTTTTCTGGCATAAAGATATTTCAGTATCAAAGGAAAAGAGCTATATTTGGAGTGAGAGTAGAGAGGGAAGGCAATATTTTGAATACACTGTAACTTCTTGATTCTTTTCTGCTTTAATTTAGAGACTGGTCAGTTTTGTTATTCTTTTATAGTCAGCAGAGTCTAGATTTTGAGACCCACTGATGTGTTAATTCTCCTTTATGGTGCATTTTACTATATACCAATTACTTTTTTAATCTAGACCATCAATTAGAGGACTAAGTACTACAAAATAAATTATTTTAGAAGTGATTTGCACAAATTGGATTTTAGCAGTCAGCTTTATTATTTTCTAATATGTTTTTGTTTGTTTTTTTAGCTTGTATGCTGTATACAATCCATAACACATATGATGACATTGAAAATAAAGTGGTTGCAGATCTAGGATGTGGTTGTGGAATGCTTAGCATTGGAACTGCAATGTTAGGAGCAGGGTAGGTGATCCAGTTGATACTATTTGGGTATGGAGTGGCTGGCCTTAATAACAAGTTTATTATAAGGTTTGGGCTTTTTGCATGTGGATATCCAGTTGTTCCAGTACATTTATTGAGGGTACAATCCTCTCTCCACTTAAATCGCTTTTGCATCTTTGCCAGAAATCAAATGTCTATTATGTGGGTATCTATTTTGGGATTTTATATTCGTACTTTGGTGGTTTGCACAATGCCATTTTGTCATGATTGGTGTAAATTTGTGATAAATTGTGGGATTGGGGAGAGTTGCTCTAATTTTGTTCCTTTATCAAAATTGTTTAGACTATTCTGAGTTTTTATTTTGACAGAAATGTAAGAATCAAAATGTTAATCTTCATGAAAAATAATGTTAACAGCTTGTTAAGGGATTATTTTTTATTTTCTTCTTTCATTTTTGGTTTCATTCTTTTATTTTTAATTTAAAAAAGTAAATGTGTAAAAACAGTTTAAATAGCACCAACTGAATTATATTCATGAGATTCTACAGGATGAGATGAACAGAAAATAATCTGATCTGAGTACATTTTGAATGAGCAGATCAAAAACTTATGAAAAATAAATTACAGTGATGAGAGCAGATTCTTTGTACATAAACTTGAATCTCCATCCCTTCCCATGAGGGAAATCATGCTATGGAAAAGCAACACTCACTCTTACTTTGTTAATGGGTTAAAAAGTAAATGGTAAAATAACTTATTTTTGGTTTTGTTTTAACTTGGTAGCTCTAGGTAAGTTGCTACTCTGTATGTTTTATTTGTAGACTGTGTGTTGGATTCGACATAGATGAAGATGCACTCGAAATATTTAACAGGAATGTGGAAGAGTTTGAATTAACGAATGTTGATATGGTTCAGTGTGATGTATGCTCATTATCTAACAGAATGGCCAAGTCATTTGATACAGTGATTATGAATCCTCCCTTTGGAACCAAAAATAATAAAGGTTAGTAATGAGAACCAGCTGTATTAATGTATTTATAGAAAAGCAAATTTTAAAAATCACTTTCTCAGATAGTGTGGTGCCCTCTGTAACCCCAGTACACTCTGAGCACTCTGAGGCAGAAGATCACAAATTTGAGACTAGCCTAGGCAATTTATTGAGACCTTGTCTCAGTACCTAGTGCTAATCCCCAGTTCAATCCCCAGGACTACAAACAAATAAAATTATCATCGACTGGGTTAAGTGATTTTATCACTGTTCACCGAATAAACCAGTCTCATATTCATATGTTTCCTGAATTTAAATTTCAATTTGTGTAATATGATTAGGGAATTGAATTTTTCATTCACAAATTTGTGAAAACATTGTTTATGATTTGTATACCTAATTACTTGACAAGTTCTTATGAATGATAATGAAACTATGAAGGATTTTATACTATTTGCTTGTTTGTATTTTGAGACAGGGTCTCATGTAGTTCAGGCTGTACTGAATTTACTTAATTTTATTTATTTGCATCATGACTTATTACAGAAAGTATTTGAAGTGGCTATTTTGGGCTTTGGGGGAAATTTTTCTAAATCCTATTCATTTAATCTTCTACCTTGATAATACATACATAAGTAGGGGCTGTTTGATTTTTTTTCTCTCACAGGGATAGATATGACTTTTCTTAAGACTGCTTTGGAAATGGCAAGAACAGCAGTGTATTCTTTACATAAATCCTCCACTAGAGAAGTAAGTTTAAATCATCTTGTTATTGTCACTGATTTTTAAATTTCTGACACTACTTTTAGAATTTTCTGTGAATGCTAGCTACCACAGTGTCTTGTTTCTCCTGTCCTTTTTGATACCTAAGACTTACAAACTGAATTTTATCTTTAACCAGCTATACCTGTAATTAGCTTTTTCCTTATTCTACATGATCAACTTCTTTTGTCAAAGATTTGTGCAGACAAAACTGTTGCCAGGAAAGGGACTATAATTCAAAATAAAAAAGAGCACTAAAACTACTTTCCATATCTTTTAATTTTGCTAGGTAAGTCAAAGGGTGATGAATATTCACTTTCTGTCTCAATGTCAGTGTGGCCTCATGTGCTTAAAGGAGATACTAAGGCCTGGCTATTTAAAATATTGGACCTTCAGCAAAGATCAGAAACTACCTATTCCTTTTTTTTTTTTTTTTTTTGTCTTTTTTGAGACAGGGTCTCGCTATGCAGTTCAGGCTGGTCTTGAGCTCACTTTGTAGCCCAGGCTGGTCTCAAACTCGCAACGCTCCTCCCAGCTCAGCCTACCGAGTGCTGGGATTACAGGCGTGAGCCACCACACCCGGCTCCATTATTCTTTTTGCCAAAACATACCACAGGGGAGGTGCATGCACATGTACATAAGATATATTCAAGGAAATTGGGGGAGGGGAGAAGTCGTAGCATAACAGTGATTAAGAACTGTGCTAGGCTGGTCAAGACATTTGAGCTTAAATTCCTTCACCTATACTGTACTAACTTGTACAGTACTCTTGGTGTAAGAACCTTTATACCATTGTAAGGGCTGAGTTAGTATTTACAAAGCACTTAGGTTAGTATGTGACATACTCAATTGTTATGTGTTGGCTATTATTATTTTAACACATAAAGAAATTTTAAAGTGATTTTGAAGGAAAAATATTCATGAAAATAAAATAATCTGTTGGAAATAATATATTCTATACAGCAACCTAATAACTTCAAAGTATTAAATCAAGTAATTAAAAATATACTACTAGGACCTGGGGATTTAGCTCAGCGGTGTAAGTACCTGCCTTGCAAGCAGGCAGTTGTGAGTTCGATCCCTGGTACCGATAAAAAAAGGAAAAAAAACAAAAAATACTGCTAACAATGTGTACTAGTTTATGTTGGCAGGCAACAGAAAGCAAATTATCTACCGGTAAATCTTCATTCATATGAAAGCAAATACCATGGTATCCAAAAAATTGGGTGAGGGGGCCAGTTAATTAATTAATTAAGCCAGTTAATTAATTGGAAATCTCACAGGACCCACTATATGATTATACATCTAACTGTGACTTATTACAAAAGGTTTCGGCATCAAATCAGCAAAGGGAAAGGCACATGGGGCAAAGTCTGGGGAAATCCAGGTGCAAGCTTCCAGTCTTTTAGTGTACTAACACAGGATACAGTTCTTCCAGCGTGAATGACAACACATGTGAAGTACTGCCAACCACAGAAGCTCCCATTAGACTCCTCCTGTATTTTTTACTGGGCACAAATCATGCAAGTATCCCCCTTTATGACACTCAAATTCTGAACTCCTAGTTAGAATACAGGTGTTCAGCATAAACAGCTCAGGCACAGTGAGCCACTTTTATCAGGGGAGTGGGAGTGGAAACTCTCCCAGAGTTTAAATTTTCATGCTCCAGCCAATGACCAAAATTGCAAGCAGACCTTTTTAAGGCTAAGCAGTCCTGTACTGTTACAAACTCTTTTTCTGAATAACTTGGCATAACATGCATTTTACCTAACCCATATAAAATTCTTTTTTGGGGGTACCAGGGATCAAACTCCCATCTGTGCGCTTGCAAGACAGGCACTTATGCTGCTGAGCTAAATCCCCAGCCCCTCATATAAAATTCATGCAGTAAAATACGACAGTAAAGAAAGTGCAATTAAGCAGGAAAATCTAGTTGAGTGAGTTCCTCACATTACCAGAATTCCATGTTTCACCATTAGGTGGCAGCATTATCACCTTGGAAGGCTTAGGGGCTGCATTCTAAAACTATTTCATGAAGTTCTTTTTACTCACATAGCGTACTTGTTTCCATCAGCATAATAAATAAGTAAGAAATTAATCTGGTGATATCATACATACTAAGAAGGTGTGATATGGGATAAACTTCCTTCTTATGACAGTCCCTGTTTTATGCCGTAATCTGCTATATAAATTTATAATTTTGCTTATTTCAGGTTTCTATTTAATTAGTAACATTGATAATGAAATTTACCCCAAGCCCCTTAACAGTAGGCCTTTTTCAAAAAATGCTTGACTTGCATCGGATAACTGTTTAATAGAAATATTTAGGCAAAAAAAAAGTGTGTACTGGCAAACAAAAATATCCTCACTCTCAAAGCTGCTATTTTACCTCATCGAGCATTCTCAAGTCAGTTCTTGGCTTAGTTAGACTTTAGACAGTAGCACAGTAGGTAAGCCTGGTGCTCTTCTTCCAGTTTATCCAAAGTTCAGCCAGTAGCTCCTTCTGTCTCTGGCAGAACTATATCCCATTATATAATCTAACCTCTAAATCCTTTCCCTTAGGATTTAGGAGGCAAAGAAATGTCATAATTTCTCCCAAATTTATCAAGAATTCTATGATAGGACTGGGGATATAGCTCAGCAGCACAAGCACCCACCTGGCAAGTTCAAAGTCATGAGTTCAATCCCTGGTACCAAAAAAAAAATCCATGCTCCCATTATAATTTACATTAAAATCTACATCCTTATATGGAAATTCTAGATCTCAAATAATATGACACTGAGATTAAAATCAGGAAACCCACAAGTACAAACATTAATGTATTATTTATAACACTGGAAATACTGGAACCTAAAAATTGGAAAAATTTAAGTATTTTATGACTCAACTTAATGCCAATTAAATATTAGTAAGATTATCAAAACAGACAAGATGCTTATAACAAATATATAAAAACTAAGATATCCATACTACGGTATTTCTAGAAATTTTTGCATTATTTAAGGGACTATGGTCAACTTGCTTTATTTCCATTAATTCTGGAAATGCTGTATATAGTTTTTAATAAAGCAATTTTACTATTAATTTATTTAGGGCTTTTCTGAGGCAAGGTATCAATATGTAGTCCATACTAGCCTTGAACTTACTGTGTGGCCCAGGAAACTCATGGTGACCCTCATTGCCTCAGCTTCCTGACTGCTAGAATTATGAACATATACCACCACACCCAACAATAAAGCAATTGTAAGTAGCAAGTTAGTAACTAAAATTTAGCAATACTTTGTAAAGTAGTTCAACAATTTCAAACTAAAATATTTGAGTGCTATGTATGATAGCACAGTTCAAAATGCTTTCCAGCCTGCAAAAATCCAGTGGGATTTATTCTGACTGGAGGAAATCATGGAACAGAATGAGTAATTTTCTCTAGTTTACATAGCTAATAAGCAGATCTATAGTTGAAACGCATGCAATCTGGTGCCAGACACCAAGTCCATGGACATATCTCTGCAAAATACCATAGTTACCAGGTTAGCTAGCTGTATTTGTGTTAATTTAATAATGCTCCAGACCATGATACATTATGCTGCAAAACCATTATATGTTTTAATAGATTTCTGAAAGTTGCTTTTTTGGTACTGGAAATCGAACTCACGACCTTATGCTTGCCAGGCAGGTGCTATGCTACTGAGCTGTGAAATAGCTCTGAAATAGTGTTATTGCTTAAATTTAATTATGTAATTCATTAAATGTATTGTTTGGAGACAGGGTCTTGCTATGTTGTTCAGGCTAGCCTGACATGGCAATCCTGCCTTAGCCTCCTGAGTGCTAGAATTACAGGCATGTGTGCGTGAAGTGATGAGATTTCCGATTTTCAAAGTACTATCCAACTAGCTGAAACCTCTATTAAGAATTTAATTTTCAATGAAATTTAAAGTTTGAAAAGTTAATCTCAAATATTAGTAAAAAGTAGTTTTAAAAACCATTAAAAAATCAGTTCATGTGAAAATATTATTTGTGTTTAGCATGTTCAGAAAAAAGCTGCAGAATGGAAAATCAAGATAGATATTATCGCAGGTAAGATAACTCTGTACTTAATTACTAAAAACATCAATATATATGAACCAAACCAAAATGTTTATAGAATAAAATAAATTTTCTATAGAATGTTTTTTATTGTGGTAAATGTGTCTGATTGGTAATGAACTGGACATAGAGGAAATGCAAAGCAAACACTCAATGTATGCATTTTACTGCTTTTGGCAGTACTAAGGATTGAACCCTGGGTAACCCTTTTTTTATGTTTTATTTCAAGATAGGGTCTCACTAAATCATTAAACTGCTCAGGCTGGGCTGAAACTTTGAATTCTCCTACCTCAGCCTCCCAGAGTGCAGGAATTACAGTTGTGTAGCCTCCCAGAGTGCAGGAATTACAGTTGTGTGTCACCACACCTGGCTTGCTGAAAATTTCTAATTGCACGCAAGATTTGGTTACTCCAGCTGTATATCATCACAGGAAGCCAAGTGTGGTGGTACATGTCTGTAATCCCAGCACAGTGGAGGAGGCTGAGGCAGGAGGATCACTGCAAGTTTAAAGCCAGCCTGAGCTACAAAGTGAAACCATCTCAAAAAAAAAAAAAAAAAAAAAAAAAAAATCAGTGAATAAGCATGGCTCATAGTTAAGACCTTGATTTAAAATTCATTCATGGAAAATGCCACCAGGTTATGACTCATTTTCTCACTGTCTACCAAGTAACACTGAGCTTTTTATTTTTGGTGGTAGACAGGGTATCAATATTCTCATTATGACTAAATTTTATTTGATACATTTTTTATTAAGTTGGGTAATAGTAACAAACATCAGAATGGAAAAAACAAGGAACTATAATACAAATACTTTTTTCATAATACCTAAGTTATAGTCTAGCTACATAGTCTTGGTTGGCATCAAACTCTTTCTCAAGTGTCTAAACTACAGCCATGTACATCTGGCTAATGCAAATGCTTTTGAAAAGCCTGAATTAAAGAGTACAAGGAGGGGAGCATACTTTTAAACAATAAAAAGGTTACATGAATTGGCTTAACTAGATATATTAATATTCATTATAATTAGTAATCATATATTTGAAGATCTGTTGGTTCCCCTATTATATTCAGTGTTGTCATTCTTCCTACAGCTTAAAGTACTATGGAACATTTTATTAGAACAGTCCCAGTAGGATATCAAGGCATATAGTCTCCAGATCATCAATACTGACATCTTTGGAAGCTTGTTAAAGATCCAGAATTTCAGCCTTCATTCAAATTTATTAAAATAAGATCTTAGTGCTTAGAATGCACAATAATACTTCAAAGCAGTAGCTTACATGGTTGTAATTTGGGTTGGGAAATACAAAGGATAGGTAATTGACTGCCATCTTTCTTAAATTTTGGTACAAATGGTCAAAACAGCAGAAAAACAGGGCACGTGGTACACGCCTGTAATCCCAAAATTTGGGATGCTGAGGCAAAAGGATCATTTTGAGTTTGAGGTAATCTTGAGCTACAAAGTAAGTTTCAATGCCAGCCTGAACTGCATAGTGAGAACTTGTCTCAAAAAGATTAAAAAGAATACTAGAAGTCACAGCCAATCTTGGAGCAGTTATCAGGTCAGTACTTGGAGAAAATGTTGAACTGACAAGTGTAAGCTGATAAATTTATAAGAATTTAGTGTTTCCTTAGTTTTATCTTTAGTTAACAGCAGTAATTTGTGTGTTTTGTCAGGAATTGAACTCAGGACCTTGTACCTGTTAGGCAGTTGCTGAGCTGCTAAGCCATGTCCCCAGCCCCAGCAGTAAATGTTTAGAAATGTAATTATCTTTATTTGGCTTTTGTTTTACAGAGCTTCGATATGACCTGCCAGCATTATATAACTTTCATAAAAAGAAATCAGTAAGTATCTTGATTCAAGCCTGTCTAGCATTCAGCACTGAAAAACTCTTCAATAAATAATTATTCCCACAATTATCAACTTGGCTGAGAAAATATAAAAAAGTCAGTCTCAGAGATTAGCTATTATTAAGTCTGAGAAGCTGGGTATGGTGGTGCATGCCTGTAACCCCAGCACTTGGGAGGTTGAGGCAGGAAAATCATTACAAGTTTGAGGCCAGCGTAGGCTATATAACAAGACCAGCCTGAACTACACAGTGAGACCATCTCAAAAAACCAAGACAAACTGTAAGAAGGGCTTATAATTAATAACCAATACTCTATGACTGAAGATCATAACAAAAAGGGAACAAGCAAGTTCTTTTTATATAGTATATATTTTGTTATTTTATACTAATACATTCTCATATTACAAAGGCAATTTAGTGGAAGAACCTTCCTTAGGTTCTTCTGAACACAAACAGAACTATACATTTAAAAAAATGTATTTGGATAACAACAAAAAGACAAGTTAAAACAACAAAAATAATAATCACCCTTTTTTACAGGTGGACATTGAAGTGGATCTAATTCGGTTTTCTTTTTAAAAGCTTCCAAAGACAAAAAGCAGCTTAAAACCTAAGATGAATAAAAAATATTGTTTACTAAATTACTGGTCTCCAGCACCATTTTCTGTTTTCTGTTGTTTTGATGCAGGTTCTTCTTTGTCTGTTTCTTCTCTTGCTCTTTTCACTGGTCCTAAGAAATAATGGAATTTTTGTTAATTCAGTTTACATACTGCTTTATTTTATTATTGAGGACAATTTTTTTTTTATGTCCAGAAATGGAACTCATGACCTTGCACTTTGCAGGAAGGCACTTGTGCCACTGAGCTAAATCCCTAGCTCAATTATTAATAATTACGCTTTAATGCAACTTCCATTAAAACAAGAAGAAAATTTTGTCTTTTATTACGGTTCTTCTGAGTGCCAAACTTACTTATCAAATGTCCTATCTCCCACTTGTACAACAGCATAACCAAAGTAAATAATAATAATCCAGGCATTGTCACTTCCACTAAAGTAAAAACTATATGCCTGTTCTCTGTGGCAAGCAATTTCTCAGAACTACCCCAGTACCTAGAAAAAACTTACCAGCTGCACCATTTTCACCACGTTCTTCATCACTATCAAATTTTGTTTTCTTGCCCTGAAACTGTACTTTCCCTTTAGCAGACCCAGGCTGGGCAGCTTTATTTCCTTTTCCTTTTCCTTTAAATCTGCGACCTGCAGAGACATTGTTGAGGATTTAGTAAAGAAAGTATTTCAAGTCTGTTATCATCATTTTTGAACACCGATTAAAATTTTTACTTAAAAGATATAAAATAATCGAACTGATAATAAAAATCAAAATAAAAGACCTTTTGATTTCCATTTGTTTAGGGATTCTTGTTGATCTTCTATGATTTTTTTCAAAGCTTCTTTTTCCACCTCTCCTTCCAGGACTTCCCACGTTACTTCTTTGTTCCTTAATTGTAGGCTGCCGTTATTGGCATCTTTGGCTTTCTCCAGTGCTTCCTTGGCTTTTTCTTTAAATAGAATTATTCCCTAAACCAAGGACAGAAAATGAAGGGCATTTAGTTTCTGGCCTCACAGTTAATTTCTATGCTTAAGGCACTGTTTTTATACCATGTAAATTTCCTATGCCATTACTAGTTTCAGTGAATTTTACTGAACATTAGAAAAGGAACTCATGGAAGTAAAATAAACTACAGTTACCAATATCAAGTTATTTATAGTGTATTTCACAAAACACCGAACATTGTATCCAGTGACAAGAATGACAAAATGGAATGCAAGTGATCAAGCAGAGACTATTTTAACTGACATAATTTAAAAACTGCTTTCTATTAACTTTACCATCTAAAAAATAAGTTTCTATGGATTTAAATTGATTGCTAAAAAGTATTTGAAAGTTTCCAAACCTCTTTTGCTCCTCTGACAAAGTCTATCCATTTTATTTCACCATGATTTGAGAAAAGGGCGTGCAAATCTTCTCTACAGGTCTGATCATCTAAATCACCTGAAAACTTCAGCAGGCATCCAATCTTTTCTTCTAGAGATTTCTATGAAAATATGAGGCAATCAAAAAATTTTTAAAAACAATCATATAACCAGAAATGGCTCATCTCACTCTACCTATACAGGGAAAAGTTAGCAAGAAAATGCTATTTCAAAGTAATTCAATGGTGTATTCTCCTTTGTCATCTTTTTTTTGGTCTTTTTCATTTTTATCGGTACCAGGGATCGAACTCATGACTTCCTGCTTGCAAGGCAGGTACTTATGCCAGTGAGCTAAATCCCCAGCCCCACCTTTGTCATCTTTTACTCTACACTAGATCTAATTTATCTTAATTTCTTTATAAACAATATGTAATTAGTCCTAAACTATATAAACCTATTAAGATATCCAAATAAATGTTTTAGGCAGTATTATTTGTGTATCACTTTAGCACAAAGCTAACCTTATGTCTGTTTACTGTTTTTTGAAATGTCCTAAACATGGCTGTGGGTGTCAGTCAGTGGTACAGCATGTGCAAGGCCCTCGACTCACTCCATAGCACTTACCCACCCAAATACTCACCCACACCCACCACAGTTCTCAGACTTTCTGAAGATATTCTAACTTAAATGATACATTAAATACCAGTATTGCATACTTACCATTTCAGCATCTTCTGCTAATTTCTGTTTTTCTTCTTGCTCTCTACAAATGAACATGTTTTAATTACAATGTTTCTGCTTCTTATATAAGAAAATTAAATCATAACAAATAACTTTGGTCATACCATTCAAACTCCTTAATAAGCCAGTCCTTAGTTTAACCAACCCTAGATTGCAGTGGAATGTGGCTTCAACACAGCAAGCCAACTTGAACTCAACATTTCACTACCAATAAGAAAGGCTTGTTACTATTTATTTCAAAGCTCATCATTAGCTCCTTCAAGAACCATTAACTTCAACCTTATAAAAGCTTTAAGGAATTCAAGTGTGTCGTGATTAATTCAATATACTTACTGTTTAGCTCTTAATTTAGCTTCTACTTTATTTTGCTTTCTTTCTTCATTTTTCTTTGCAAAATAATCTTCCCTAAGCAACACAAAATAGGAAGGCTAATGTAATGAGAACAAAGACTAAATTATTTTGATTTAAGCACAACAAAGCAAGAAATGTTACACTGTCTATCAAAATTACCACCTAAAAATCTCAAAATATGGTATGTATATTATAATTTAAATCTTTAGGAGAAACAGTAAAAAACTTACTTAAAAAGTATTAGTAAATCTGTGTCTTTATACTTCTGGCCTGGAGTTTCTACAAATTTCTTAGCAGATTCAATGCTATCAAACACAGCAAATATTGATCCCTATTTTAAAAAAAGGAAGGAGGGGCGTTAAGTTACATTCCACATATCTTACAACTATAGATAACCTCTACCATCATATACTCGTACCTTAAATGCTTTGTGCAATGTTCGTCTCATCTGGATATTTAGTACTTGACCTTTATCTTCTAGCCACTCTTTAATATCATCAAGTGTTGCATCCGTTGGGAAGCCTTTCTGTGAAAAGTGGGAAGACAGACCTCAAAATAATTCCATTGGGTAGAGACAAAACATTATTCACATGTTAAAAACAATTAAAATTTGAAAGTATATTATACTGTTTAATCTACTTTTGTATCTCAAACCTTTTATAATAAAACTTCTTAAAACATGCTAATAAAAATTACTAGAGTTTAGCTATTGATAAACAAGAATGCCTGATACACACTGGGTGCTTGAAATATGTCAAAGATTTTGTCATAAATGGTATGGTTTTTTTTCCTTTTAAGTCTCTCTTTTTTTTTTGGTCTTTTTGAGATGGTCCCGCTATGCAGTTCAGGCTGGCGTTGGGTTCACTTTGGAGCCCAAGCTGGTCTCGAACTTGCAATAATCCTCCTGCCTCAGCCTTCTGGGTGCTAGGATTACAGGAGTGCACCACCATGCCCAGTTCACTCTCATATTTTAATCAGGCAATATTATCATATTTATGAAAACAAGGCTTACAGAGGTTAAAAACACTGCTTGAAGACATATAGGAAGTACTGACATTGTGATCCCTGAGCATATATTCTTATTCCAGTATATTTTCTTTCTAAAGAAATATAAGACATTAAATGCATTAAAACTTACAATATAAACGGATCTGTTTTTTACATCATTTTTATATTCATCAGTCACTTCAGGAAGGGGTTTGTTTGGAGATCTTCTGATTTTAGTTTTATCTTCACTGATTTCCATGAGTTCTGCTTTAGATTTGCTTAGTGCTTCCACTATTACATTAAAGTCTGTTGTTAGACGGTTGAGCCTGAAGAGATTATAAACGGACATTTTAAAACTCAGTACTAGCACTTATTATTAATAAAAAGCCTAAACAGTTCATAAAGGTTACTAAACGTCTGTGGATATAGCTCAGTAGTAGAGTGCTTGCCTAGCATGCACAAGACCCTCAATTTGCTCTCCAGAATGCAAACAAACAAAAACAGTTTTTACCTATTGAATTTTATCATTATTTCCAAGGGTACCCAGCCTTCATCCAATTTGATCTGTTCCTTTAAAAATTTGTCCCGTGGCAAATTGAAGTCTCCAAAATAATACTGTAAGATAATTCAATATAGTTCACATTTCAGAGCATTATATAGTATTGAATCCCATCTTGGAACTTTTTAAAACCGTTATAGTATAAGCTCTACTCCCTGAAAATATGTATCATCACTTTTGTTTCTATTCAGTGTAGAAAGATTAGATTGTTAAATTTAAAAATGGAAGAAACTAATTGCTTTGATGGGGTGGTGGTAGAAAGGTTGAGACAGAGTCTCCCTGTGTAGTTCAGGCTGGCCTTGAACTCATGGTAATCCTCTTGCCTCACCCTCCACAGTGCTGGAATTATATGCATGTGCTACCACGTCCAACTTTAAGTGCTCTTGATTTTTAAAATAAAACAACACAAAACAAAACAAAGAAAGTGAATATCTAATTCAATCATAGAAGCACTTGGTTTAAAAGCAAAAAAAAGGATCAAAGATGTAGTTCAGGGGTAGGTGTATGCCCTGCCTAATCTCAGCACCACAAAAACAAAATGGAATGGAGAGAACAACAAAAAAGAAGACCAATTATGACTACTTGGAATGTCAAAACTAGCTTATGAAGAAAAAGACAAACAACTTTGTCAGGATTCAGATTAACAAGGAAGGAAAAAAACACAGTAAACAGTCACAAAAACACATAAAGGACACTTTAAGAAGTACAAAAATTAAAAGAAACAATGGAAAGAATACAAGATGGTATTTTCATCTACCTCACTGAAATTCTATAAAAAACTAGAGTACCTAGCATTGACCTGAACAGATAATAATCATACAAGTAAAGAACTGGTAACGATGTCAAAAGTTGTTTTAAAATGTGTGTTAACTATTAAGTTAATAGTCTCTTTTAGGAATCTTAAAAGACTAATTAGAAATGTTTGTTAGGATTTATATATAAAAAGCCACACAGATGCCTCTTAGGTTGAGGCAGGAGGATCGTAGGTTGAAGCCAGCCTAGGCAACTTAGCAAGACTCTGTCTCAAAA